CCCCCAAATCCCCCGGGGAGTGGAGAGCAGAGCGGGCGCTCCAGACCTGCAGTCACTCCTACTGCACACACGAGCTGGTTTCCATTCTAACGTTTAACAAATTTAAAGTGAATTTCTCAAAAGTTGGCAAAACAAAATGTGAATAAATCGGTGTTTCCGTCAAATATGACGTGTACAAAACAAGACATGACACGTTTGTGGCATCTAGCGCGAGTCAAGACCCCTTTCTCACCGTGAGTGGAGGGATGTGAACCTTTATTATCTCTCAGTAGAGCCAGTTTACAGAGCAGGCCGTGGACCATATAATGGGGGCTGAAGTCTCTGTCCCACTTCTCTATCGCACATTGATACCGAGAACCCCACTGAGCCCCCGAGAACCGTATTTGAGCCCCGAGAACCCCACTGAGCCCTTGGAACACCGGAACTCCTTAGAACACCTGAGAACCCTAATGTCATAGACCAAACCCCAGAAAATCACACAAAAAACTTAAGAACCTCACTGAACCCTTAAGAACCTCACTGAACCCCAACAAACCCCAGAAAAACAAACCAAACCCCTGAGAACCTCTGAGATCCCTATTGAACCCCACTGTCACAGACCGAACCCCTGAGAATCCCCACAGTTCTGAGAGGACACAGTGCAAAACACGTGACTTCCGCTGCCGGTATTTCAACACTTATTTAAAAACTCCATCACCATTTTTCACTTTTACCTTTTATCAGTGAACCAATGTTTTCACTTCAACCAAGTGTTAAAACCTTGTATGGGATATTTACAGGTTAGTTTCAAGAACATATTTTAGACTGCGCTTTAAAGACGTGTATGGTAAACCACACACTCCATTTCCCCCCAAATCCCCTGGAGAGCAGAGCGCTCAAGACCTGCATTCACTCTTATTACACACACACACACACACACACACACACACACACACACACACACACACACACCCACACACCCAAAAGCTCCAATTTGAATGAATTACCTTCATTTTTTGCCACACCTCACTCAGACACACTATGAGCCCACTGTCCTGCACACATACAGGAGCCGATTGTCCAGCCAGGCTAAAGAAATTACTCTCAATTACGCAGTTCTGAGAAACAAACTACAGACCTGCACTCTGAACCAAGCGCAGTAGATGGAGTAGACGGTTCATTTATAAGTTAACATTATATACACAATCCATATATAAAATGATATATAAAACATATGCACTCATATAACATATATAATAATGTGTAAACTAGCGCTGACCACTAGTAGTGGGCAAACATTTACATCACAGTATAATTTTGATTACTGATAGTTTCAGTATGTATCACTGTACAGTGTATTTATGTATTTTATTAAAATAAAACCATTTTGGATGGCCTTTTTACAGAACATTATTCTGGACGCCCCTTCACTTTTAGTAATAACCATATTCATATACAACTGACATAAATTTTAAATATTTTTACTGGATGAAACAGTAAAAACAGAACTGATCAATATACAGTCAGATGTCAGTACTGTTTTCTAACCCTACTGAGATGAAGGTGAGGGTGTGTAAAGCCCACAGCGGCGTCTCTAAATGCTGCTGAATGTAGTTTTCCCTCTGAAAGCCGTTTGTCTCGTTTGAGCGTCTCTCACACTCGAGCTTTAATCTCAGAGCGTCAGACGCTGCTGGAGTTTAGTAACTATTACAGCCGTCAGTTTTAGCTGAGGAGCTGTGGAGCCTCTCGGCCTGTAGACTGAGACCGCTACGTCGCCTGAAGCAGCCGAGCGAGGTGTGCCATAGAAAAAGTGGTCTCTATGCTAGGCTAATGACTGACGGCTAACCCCAAGAGACTGGCTTTTCCTTCTGCTCTCTTATCCCTGTTAAATCATTAACTCATTACAGTCTGATGTCGCTCCTTTGACCATAAACTGGACTTACTGACCTCAGGCTGCAGCTCACTACACGGGAGGGGAGGGAACCAGCGAGTTCTGACCTGTTTATATGTAGCAGTATTTGCATACATTTACATATTGGTATAACGGTAATGACAAAACTCATACCTTACAAAGAATTTCAACTAGTATACCGGTATGAAAATAACTGCAGATAACATGTACAAACAGGTCAGAACTCGCTGGTTCCCTCACCTTTCGTGTACTGAGCTGCAGTCTGAAGTCAGTCAGTTCAGTTTACTGTCAGAAGATCTACATCAGACTGTAATGAGTTAATGAGTTAACGGGGAAAACAGAGCGGAAGGAAAAGCCAGTCTCTTGGGGTTAGCCATCTGCCATTAACCTAGCATGGAATAGGTGTCACCTGACTAACTTTACTAAATTCCAGCAGCGCCTGACGCTCAGAGCTCGAGTGTGAGTGACGCACAAACGAGACAAATGACTTTCAGATGGAAAACTACATTCAGCAGCGTTTAGAGGAGCCGCTGTGGGCTTTACACTCTCGCCTTTATCTCGTTAGGGTTAGAAAACAATACTGACATCTGACTGTATGTTGATCAGTTCTGTCTTTACTATTTCGCCCAATAAAAATATTTTAGATTTACTTCAGATGTGATTCTTAATAAAAGTGAGTGGACATCCAGAATAATATGCCACTGTCAATCTACAATAAAAGGTCCAAAATGGTTCTATGTGAATAAAATATACATAAATACACTACACTGTGATATACATCTTTGCCCACACTGCTTACTACCTTAGGGCAGTAGGCAATGTCCACCCTGTTTAAGTGCATAACATTTGAGATGAGGGGGTGCAAATCAAACATGTACAAGAAGCAAGAATTATGAGGAGACCTATTCATCACTCACTCACGTTGCACAATGAAACCCTTCATAAACACACTTTTACACAAAGCAGTATTTACACACACACACACACACACACACACTTCATCTGGAGCTCATTCACGAAAGTGGTACTGAGTGTTTATGAGAGGGCTGCTGAGTAATCCAGCACTTCCAGCTTTCCATAGTCTATAGGCTACTTATTCACCACAGACCAGCAAGGGTGCATTATCACTATGGGCCACCAGTGGGTACTGTGAGCAAAGAGAAACAGGGGCTTTAGGGCCATTTACACAAACAGCTGTATTTCAGAGCCCAGGCAACCTAAGGCCACTGCAAACATGCCTATGAACACTGTTATGGGCTTTTGGGGCTGCATTTCATGGCCACAGACACCAGCGGGACTCGTGAGCATGACAGTGAATGGTATAATGGGCTTTAGGGGGTGCAATACAGGACCCTACCACCAGGGGAGTGCTACAAGCTTGACTACAAATGGAACAGTTTGTTTTAGGGGCTGCAGTCCAGAGCTCTGGCCAACAGGGGGCCCTGCAAGCATGACCATGCATGGAATAATGTCCTTTAGGGGCGTCAATCCAGCCTCCTGTTACATTACTGGTTTTAACAAGCCCTCGTCCACCTAGCCTCGTCATTTCCCTTCAGGGGAATATCCAGCGCCACCCTAAGGGCTGTTCCATTACTGTATTAGCTGAAGTGAAGGGGATCGAGCGAACACCCGTATCGACTTCAGCAGCAGAACTTACCCAGAAGTCATTGCGACCTGACGCATTTACCTTTTCAAACCCAAATAATGACGGACCAAGTTTATCAGCTACAGCCATAACCTACTTTACAATGCTTAACATTTCAAAACCATAACATTCAATTAGCTGAGCCTTATGAGCACAACTACAAACGGTATAATGGGCCTTAGTGGCTGCAGTCTAGATCCTTGGCCATCAGGGGGCGCTGTGAGCACAACTACTAATTGAATAATGGGCTTTAGGGGCTGCAATCCAGATCTTGCAAGCTTGAATACAAATGGTATAATGGACTTTCAAGGCTGAAGTCCAGGGCTCTGGCCACAAGAGGGCACCACAAGCATTTCTGGGAATGCAATAAGCCATTAGAAACCATATTAAACCTACATAAACAAACCAATTCGTTATATTATTATAAATAAACAATTCTTCCACCAAGCAGTGTAGCTTGTTATTAGAAGGCTACAGTTGGCAAGCAACACAACGATTAAAGATTATTCCAGGAATAGCATTTTTTTTTATTTTGTTTTTAGATTTTCTATGAAGTAATTAAAGTATTTCCTTTTTTGGTTAAAAGAATGCTTTTTTTTCCTCTGATAATCACAATATATGGTACCGAATCATAGCTTGTAATGTTAAACGCTCCAGTAAACTGGAAATAGAAATGTTCACATAAAATTCCATCAATTTCGCAAAAACTCACCGAGTAAGAACTGTTCACAGTGGTGGTGATAGGAACCAGACGTCCACCTCTAAAAGCTCCCTCACAGAAAGTTCCTACATGAAATGGTTATGAATTCACTGCCTGATGACTGAGACACTGTTTTATGATAGTTTTAGAGAACTTAAACTCCATTCATGGTGGAGGGATACATGCAGGGCGCTGTGAGGCAAAATAGTCCCCAAAGAAAACTTATTATTTCAGATTTTCCACTATTTTCCATCATCAACATTCCATATAAACTCAGAAGACTCGTGTAGGTTCACTGGTGGTTCTGGATAGTAAATAAAATGTCTGTATTTGTGTTGTAGTCATGGCGACCCCTGGTTCCTATCACCACCATTGTAAAGACATCTGAACCATTTCACACCAAACACTCTGAATCACTCTGATTACATCTCACACACAATTATGGTAGAATTTTGGAAACTGGGTGGAGTTCCCCTTTAAGGTTAGGTGTACGTGTACTGTTACTCAGCTCTCAGCTACAGTGTTACAGAAGTCAGTAGAAGTCCTCACAAGTATGGTGAGACCAACGTGTGTGTATGTGTGTGAGAGCGTGTGTGTGTGAGTGTGTGTGTGAGAGCGTGTGTGTGTGAGTGTGTGTGTGTGTGAGTGTGTGTGTGAGAGCGTGTGTGTGTGAGTGTGTGTGTGTGTGAGTGTGTGTGTGAGAGCGTGTGTGTGTGTGTGTGTGTGTGTGTGTGTGTGTGAGTGTGTGTGTGAGTGGGACTCACTGTCTGTTGCTGATCCGTTGGGCAGGGATCCCAAATCAACAACCAAACCATCCAGACACACATTCAGCTCTCCGCCCGACACAACACTGCCTTTATTCTCCGTCTGCAGAACCAGAACCAGCTCCACGTTCTCCACTAACACAGAACAGAGAACAGACAACAGAGAGAGAGAGAGAACAGACAACAGAGAGAGAGAGAGAACAGACAACAGAGAGAGAGAGAGAGAGAGAGAGAGAGAGAGAGAGAGAGAGAGCAGAAAAAAAAAGAGAGAGAGAATTGAGGAACTGATGTTAAAGGGCCCATATCATGGAAAACGTTTTTTCGAGAGAGTGAGAGGGAGAGTGCAAGTGTACATATACATGTGTGTGTGTGTGTGTGTGTGTGTATATATCTATGACAAAAGTATTGGGACACCTCCACTTTACACCTACAGGAGCTTTTATGACTCCATTCTAAATCCATAGGCATTAATATGGAGTTGGTCCCCCTTTGCAGCTCTAACAGCTTCCACTCTTCTGGGAAGGTTCTACAAGATGTTGGAGAGTCTGTGGGAATTACTGCCCATTCATCCAGAAGAGCATTTGTGAGGTCAGAGACTGATGTTGGACGAGAGGGTCTGGCTCACAATCTCCGCTCTAGTTCATCCCAAAGGTGTGTGATGGGGTTAAGGTTAGGACTCTGTGAGGGTCAGTCAAGTTCTTCCACACCAAACTCACCCAGTCAGGCCTTTATGGAGCTGCTTAGTGCTCTGGGGCTCAGTCATGCTGGAACAGGAAAGGTTCTTCCCCAAACTGTTCACACAGAGTTGGAAGTGTACAGTTGTCCAAAAGATTTCCCTTCACTGGAACTAAGGGTTCTAGACCAACCCCTGAAAAACAGCCCCATATCATCATCCCTCCTCCACCAAACTCTACAGCTGGCACAGTGCAGTCAGGCAGGTAACGTTCTCCTGGCACTCGCCAAACCCAGACTCGCCCATCAGACTGACCGATAGAGAAGCTGATTCATCAGTCCACAGAATACGTCCCTGTCAGTCTCATTAATGAAAGACTGCGCTGTAGGCTGTAACCTTATCTGTGTCATCACTGTCTTACTGAGTTCTGTAGTGTTTCCAGATGCTAATAGTCGTCTAACCTCAGTCCCATTTCAGGATAAATTAGCACACAAAGAAATAAATTCATCTCAGGCCAAAACCTTTGGTCAGTCTGTCAATCTCACGCAGAGTAAGCCCTGAAAGTTTGAACCTCCTGTAATAAAGTCCTGTAGTGTTTCTCTGCCTTGTAAGTCCACATGGCTCGTGCTGACAACAGCCACAAGAAACAGCAGGAGGAGACTGACAGCAGCGATAAATGGTGGGAAGATGACGACAGCCATGAGCGGCACGGAGACGGCGCACAAATCTCAAGCTCCGCCCCCTGGATGACGCCTCCGGTCCGGCAGCTAGGCCTCTTTACTATGCCTCTCGTTAAATCTTGGCCGGGGATGGTGACGGGGAGGCTGAGCAACGAGCTCTCTTTCTCTCTCAACTCAGATGCTCATGCTGACCTTAATGAGAGCCAGCTGAGGCTGCTGAGGCTGATTTGGTGTTGGCAGCGTGAGCAGAGCGGGAGCAGAGAGGAGAGGAACCAGCAGCAGCAACAGACTGACAAGCCGAAAAGCTGAAGTTTGACTGAAAAGTCTATCAACCATGAAGAGGCGGCACAGTTTGGGTGTCGTTTGGTTTTGTTTCTTTGTGTGTAAACTAAAAGTGAAAATGCTTGCTGCAATCGTTAATCTTGCCTCCAGCATCCATACAGAACCACCGTCTATACTAAAGAACCCTTGAACAACCATCAGTTTTAATATACGGTCAGAGGAACTGATCAAACGGACAGTGAGTGTAGATACAGGGAGGTGGTTTTAACGTTAGGGCTGGTCTGCGTGAGCTCTTGTTTGTGCATCTGTAAGTGTTCTGCAGTGAGATGAGCTGCTTACTTCTGCCATCGTGTGTTCGGAGAGTGTCCAGCAGGTCGATGGTGGCGCTGCCCAGCAGCTCCTTCCTCAGCGTGTGACAGCTCCACAGCTTCAGGTCCAGCCGACTCTGAGGAGTCACGTTCCTGCAAACACGTCACAGAGACGTCAGAACCGCTGACACAACCATCTCACACAGTCTGAGGAGAGAGAGTGAGTGGTAACATGCACACTCTCTCAAAAAAGAAGGTTCTTCAAGGGTTCTTGAAAGAATATTTCTTAAGTCTATTTGGAGCCACATATTAGTGATGATATTAGTGATGTCTTTGATTATATTAGTCATCTTTTTGCATACATCAGTGATATTTTTGCGTATATTAGTGATATTTTTGTGTATATTAGTGATGTTTTCGTGTATGTTAGTGGTGTTTCTGCTTAATAGATATTTTTGCATATATAAGTGACATTTCTGCACATTAGTGTTGTTTCTGTGTATATGAGTGATGTATACTGTATATTAGTGATGTTTAGGGTATATTAATGATGTTTTTGTGTATATTAGTGATATGTAGTATATATTAGTGATGTTTTTGTATATAAAGTATTAACAGAAAAACAGAAGACGTCTTACAGCGTGAGGTCCTCGTTCCACTGCAGCTCGTGGTGTCCGCTGCGTTTGCCTGTTTTCTTCGTCTCGCTGGTCAGGCCGTCGGCGGTCACCTCCACGAAGGAGCTGAGGCGGGACAGACGGCCGGGAAGTTTGGGAGACTGCGGCCTGGCGGACACCACTGAGAGTGAGAGTGAGAGTGAGAGAGAGAGAGAGAGAGGAGAGAGAGAGAGAGAGAGAGACAGAGTGTCAGAATAAAACTCTCACTGCTGTCTGTGGAACCAATCAGTTAGAACGTTTCTGTTTCCTGTTTCATAAACGTGTGAAGATCTTCATCACCACTACTGCGTGTGATCCGCTCTACTGAGTGAGTTCAGATCTTAGATATTTACAGTCATCGTGTTCTGATCTGTTTAAACCCGAGACATTAACAGAGACAGTAATACGCTAAATATATACAACATTTACAGGGTTCCTTCATTGTTATGATGTCAAGCTTGTAACAATGGAAGAACCTTTTTTGATGCTTTTTTCAAAAAGGTTATATATAGAACCATCTATAGGACATTTTCCATCAATCTGAAGAACCATTTCACAACGCAGAGAACCCTTTAATCATGTAAATGGTTCTTTGAGTGCTCATGGTTCTATATATATTTTCTTGACTAAAGAACCTTGTAGAACCATCTGTTTAAGGGTGTATACTTATCTAACTGGTTTTAATTGTATGTTGGGGAATAAAGATTCTGATCCTGATCAACTACAGCACCAAACTTCATCATGATCACATAAATCACATCAATTATCACCTCTCGTATTAATACACACCAGGCACATTCTCTTTTTGTGTAACCGCTGACCCATAGAAGGGGGTCAGAGCACACATTATGTTGCAGTGCATGCTGTGAATCGTAGTGCAGCTCATGGTGGAAGGGGCTAATATTATTAGAAAATTAAAACAATTTCGACTCAATTTGTGATGTCATGTCTTTCCCATGTCGCCTCACACACCCTCAGTACGTGTGGGATGCGGGAGGGTGTTTTGACTTGGGGGGCTGACATTTAAACAGCATATACAAGACATACATTTGAGATTTTTGGATAAATTACACCAAACAAAACATAGCATGATCGCACCATAGAGTCATAGTGTGCTATAATGTGGCAAAAGATGAACATACACATATAACCCTTTCTTACTTCCAGATGATTTATCAACTAATGCTGCACAAACGGCAGGTCTACGAGCACCACTGTCATCACTGCGCTGACCGGTGGGATGTCAACAATATGGTGTCAGCTCACAAGTGTGACACCAATCGGACACCATCTACTGTTAACATGTCTGTAAGAGCTGTGATGTCACATATATGCCATAACGCCTCACACACCCTCAGTACGTGTGGGATGCGGGAGGGTGTTTTGAGTTGAGGGGCTATAAACTATTCTATTTTTTATACATTATATGCTATATTTTATGACGTCACAGCGCCACAGACTGGCGAGAGATAAAAATATAAATATAAAACTTTTTTACCTCTCAGGATGATTTATTAACTAACGCTGTATAAACAGTGGCTCTACAAGCGTCTCTGTAAAGTGTGATGCCAATCGACTACTAACTATAGATCAGCGCATCTCTAATATACAGCTCTGATTCGGAGTTCCTCTGAAAGGAGAGATGTGGCCGTGATCTCAAACCGCTCTACACTGTGAGATCATCGCCCTCCTCACTTCTCACACACTGAGCACTGCAGAAGCAGAGTGTTTCCTGCTGGTGCATCACAGGAAAGCGGCTCAGTTTACACATAGACATACGTACCTAGATGTCGCGTTGGGTCCAGCCAGGCACATTAACGCGCCGCCATTTTGGGACGGTCAACATCGCTGCTGGACTGCATTCAGTACCATTACAGAGCAGCAGTTTAATAAAGATACTGTCCAAAATTACACTATTTCAAGAATATTACACTCAGAAAGAGGGATAGGATTATATAACGGAGGGAACACAGTGATCCACACTCATGTCTGTGTGGTGTTTGTGTAAATATGGCCGTGTGGTTAATGAGGCACAGAGAACCTGTTGATGTGATTGTTTTTTTCTCTAGTTTTATATTAAGCTCATTTCATTTAATAGTCTATTCAGGATCTAAACTTTATGTAGTAGTTATTTGTTTACAGTGATGGTTAAAGCTTTGTAGCTTGGTAAGTTATAGCATCACTTAACCCGTGTAGATATTCATAATAGATGAATATAACGTTAACGTTAGCACCTTCTTACACGAACCTGAAGTTATAGCTTCTTATTTGGCAGCATCTTGTTTGAATTTTCCCGTTCCACCTTAAATGGTGCAGCTTCAGGCACCAGAAAGTGACTGCTGCTCCATTTAAGGTGGAACAGGAAAACTCGACAAAGAAGCTGGCAAATAAGAAGCTAACTTTAACTAAGAAGCTATTTTTAGCTTCGTCCTTCTGTGTATGAAGATTAAAAGTGATTCACACATTGATGGATTTGCTGATTGTGTTTTTACCAGAGTTCGCGCTAAACTCTCGTCAGGTCCAGACTGAATACTTTCCTGCTGGTCCGGACGGCTAATTATCACGATCAGTTATTAAAGTAATAAAAGCTACCGAGAGCAGATCCGTGCAGTCTGGATTAATCTGTGTCTGAGGATTATAACTAAACAGATTTGGTGAAAATCGGTTGAGTAATAAGGAAGTTGAGGCTGATTTAATCCTGAGACTCTTCGTCTCTCAATACGAGTGAATCTGTTCACAAGCGGATCTTGACCTCTCCAACATGGCGGACACGCAGACGTATCGCCTCAGATAGAGAACAACAGACAATGCAGCATCCAGGTACGTATATCTATGAGTTTACAGGCTGAAAATGAACTGAAGGCGAACACTGCCCTCTAGTGGACACCAGGGAGAAACACAAGCTGGACTGGTTAGAACTCATACTCCTGTTTTCCCAGGTTTCGGAGTTTACCTTTCAGGGTCAGCTGGGATTTCTCTGCTCCCTGGACTCCACCAGGTCTGCTCACACTGGCAGCTGCCATCACATCACAGCCCTGAAACACACACACACACACACACAGGATTAGGGCTATAAACAAAACTTGCCAAGTTCTCATATAATTCTAACCTTTAAACCCTTTAGTGACGGTCACAGTCTTTCAGCTCCTGCAGGGAGTTTTAATACAGTTCAATATTTTCTAAATATTTCACTGTTTAAGATGGTATTTAGGTTAGTATTAATAAAGTGAATAAGTTAGAATGAATAAAGGTAATAAATTAATATTAATAAAGTTAATTAGTTATTATGAATAAAGTGAATAAGTCTGCATTAAAAGCGAAAACGTTAGCATTAATAAAGTTAGAGTTAGCATTAAAAAAGCTAATAATTAGCATCAAGAAAGTGGAAACGTTAGCACTGATAAAGTGAATAAAGGGGCGGTAATAACTTTAATAAGTTAGCATGAACAAAATGAATAGGTTATCCTGAATAAAGTGAATAAGCCAGCATTCATTAAAGTGATTTTAATTAATTTAATAAACCAGCATTAATAAAGTAAATAAATCAGCATTAATAACTTTAATAAGTCAGCCTTAATAAAGCTAATAAGAGGGGCGGTAATAATTTAATTTAGTGAATAAGTTACCATGAATAAAGTTAATAAAGGTTATCAAGAATCAATAAGTAAATAAGTAAAGTTAAATAAATAAAAAAGTTAGCATTAATTAAAAATGAAAGCATGGAAAGTAAATATGATCGCATTATTAATAAGCTTTCGTGAATAAAGTGATATTAGCATAAATAAAGTTGAAAATGTCGGCATAATTATAATTAAGTAATTAATTAATTAAGAGTTTGTTCTGATTGAACTGTTTTCCATGTTGTTATTGAGTTTCTAAGTATAAATAAGTTTAATTATCCTCAATTCTGCACATTTTAACACAGAATTACTGTTTATTTACTGATCTGAGCAAAGACGGTAAACTCCAAGCGTTTGAAAGCTGGTGTTTCGGGCATGTGAGTCTGTTCAGAGATGAATAACAGAGCAATAATGTTGTGTTTCCTGCAGGGCTGGACATGCATTATGACTGTGACTCATAACGCGCTTCATAACTCTCCTCTGAAATGACAGTTCAGCCAAAAACTAATTCTTCCAATTATTATTAATAATAAAAACAATACAGGCCCACTTTACCCACACAGCACTGCTCATACTGTCAAAGATCTTCAGTAACAAAAGAAAATAAACTTCAGAGTATTAATTCAAATAAGCTGAAATATTATATGATTTAGCAAAATGCAGGATCACTGTGACTGTATGAGTAAATAATCTCACAAACACAGTTTATAAACTTAAAACACTGACTTTATATCAGAATCTCAGCTACAGCAGCCATTTAACAAAAAACACTACAACACACTAACAATACTTACTTACTCAGGACTCAGAGACTGAGCAACTGTACATCTAACTGCATAAATCACCATTAAAGCACTACTAATAAACAAATACATGTATGAAATTCCATACGTGGAATGGATAAACAATAATAACAGCACAATAACAGTGTTATGAAAGCGGAAGCTGGTTTCTTTTTTTCCCAAATTTTTCCGTTCCACCTTAAATGTCGTAGTATTTACACTCCGGAGTCTGAGGGGCCCGACTGTAACTACAGCGCCATTTAAGGTGGACCGGACAAATTCGAAAAAGGAGCCAACAAACGAGCAAAAGATCAACTTCAGCCTCTGAGCAAACAATCTGAGAGCACCGTTTGGCCGCTGCAGGAGCTCCGCCGCTGGACCGACAGCGCGTTTAGTTTATTCGGTAATGTTTATTAGACGATCCGGACACAGCGTCGCGTTAGCCGCGTTAGCTCGTTAGCCTGTATTGTTATTATTATGATGATGGTTTTAGTCTGTAAACCGCCGTGTCTCTGTAGCGCAGACTGACCGCTACGCTCTCTGACCCCTTAAACGACTCGGACAGCTGAATTTAAGCCATTTAATCGCTTTAAATCTTTAATTTTTTACCTTTACTCCGTGCGGTCCGCTAGCGGGTTAGCCTAGCAGCACTTCCGCCTCACGGTCATGTGACCCCGCAGCGGCGCGCTGAGGGTTGTGGGTCTGTTCACGTGTGGCGCAGTGGTGTATGGATCTGGAGATTTCGTTTAAGATTGTTTTAATGTGTATTAAATTATTAGGACGGGAAGGGCTGAAATCATGAATCAGTAAAGTGAAGACTTTAACAACAGAGAGTTCGGTGCTTTAGTGTTGGTTAGAGCAGAAATGCGGTCTAGATATTCTTTCATTTCTCGTTCAAAACTGCATCATGAAGCTGGAGAACATGTTTACATGACAGTCAGCCAGCAGGTGGCGCCGTAACACCAGCAGAGTCTGTGATCAGGAGAGTCAGTCTGTCCGTTTGATTTCCTACCGATGATGAAGCGCAGTCGGACTGAGGAGGAGAGAGAAAGACTTAAAGACACCAAGAGAACCACAGCGTCCCCACCGCACTGCACAGGTTACTGCCAAACCCTGAACTGGGAACTGCAGGGGGCACATACACAACTCTGAGCACACTGATACCCCCAACAGATACCTGGACTAATCCAGACGCTTTAACACATCCACCTGGACTAATCTAGACGCTTTAACACATCCACCTGGACTAATCTAGACCCTTCAGAACATCCACCTAGACTAATCTAGACCCTTCAAAACTTCCACCTGGACTAATCCAGACCCTTTAACACATCCACCTGGACAACTCTAGATCCATCCTCTCCAACATCCACCTAGACTAATCTAGACCCTTCAAAACAACCACCTGGACTAATCTAGACCCTTCAAAACATCCACCTGGACTAATCCAGACCCTTCAAAACATCCACCTAGACTAATCTAGACCCTTAAAAACATCCACCTGGACTAATCTAGACCCTTCAAAACATCCACCTAGACTAATCTAGACCCTTAAAAACATCCACCTGGACTAATCTAGGTGCTTTAACACATCCACCTAGACTGATCTAGACCCTTCAAAACATCCACCTAGACTAATCCAGACCCTTCAAAACATCCACCTAGACTAATCTAGACCCTTAAAAACATCCACCTGGACTAATCTAGACCCTTCAAAACATCCACCTGGACAACTCTAGATCCTCTCTAACATCCACCTGGACTAATCTAGACCCTCTCTAACATCCACCTGGACTAATCTAGACCCTTCAAAACATCCACCTGGACAACTCTAGATCCTCTCCAACATCCACCTGGACTAATCTAGATCCTCTCCTATATCCACCTAGACTAATCTAGACCCTCTCCAACATCCACCTGGACAAATCTAGACCCTTTAAATCACACGTGTCAGGCTTCAGTTCTCACACACTGCCTCATTAAACACACCTGATTCAGCTCATCAGTTTAGCAAGGCCTACATGAACTGAGCTCAGAGCGTCAGATGAGGGTAAACACTGATCTCCACAGCACTTCAGCCCAGAAGGTCCACAGTTTGACACGCCTGTTTAAAATGCTGCTATATGCCAATCCATGCATATATATACATACTTTAATAAATTTATTTATTAAATACATTTATTGTATGGTGTATCGTGTATCTGCACTCTGTGTAGTTCTGTATATTGTACTGCTGGTGTGTGTTTGGGGCCTGAAGACCCACATTTCACTCCAATATATAAAAGTTATATTGAGGAGTGACAATAAAGAGCATAGTATATATATATATATACACATATGTATATATATAAAATTCAGTGCTGTGTAAATCTGCTTATCCATATATCAGGGCAGTATGCATTCAGTATTAACAACTGTTTATTCTCTGGTAGTTTAAAAAAGTCACTCCTCACGCTGCTCAGGGCAGCAACAGCAGCAGCAGTGCTTCCTTGGCTTCTGTCCGCTTTCTCTGGGGCACACCATGCCTTAGATGCCAGCGAGGCTGCTGCCTGTGTACGCTGTGGCTCCGACACTCAGCTTTGACCCACCATGCTGCCGTTGTCCCTTGCTGTGCCACCTCTGGCCTTCAGCTGCACCACACAGGCCTTGCCGCACCAGCCCCATCGTTGGGCCTTTCCACACCAGCTCTGGCCTCCAGCCATTCTACAGCTGGGCTCATACAGCCTCGTGGCGCTGCTTGGACTGCCATCCTCCCCTGCCTGCCTTTGCTGTGCTGTTCTTGTCTCATAGTCCTTGGGCAGGCTTGGTCTTTCCCGCTGTTCCACCACTGGGTTCACCATTCTCCTCCAGTCCTTTAGGGAGCTATCCCACTTCTGACACCACTGGGGTATTAGTGAAGAAGAAGAAGACATGGGAAACATAACACTACCAAAGACTTAACATAGCAGTTAACATAGCAGGAGAGACCTGCTCAGCACTACTGAACAGCTGGGATAGCAGGCAGGATGGTAGGCACTAACACTGCACCACTGCACCACCATGCAAACAACCCTTTAATTATGCAAAGGGTTTAACCATTTTCTTTACTAAAGAACCTTTGAGATACTGGAATACAAATTCATTTCTAAAGGTATCAGACAGTGAAGCGCATCAGACATGATTTTGGATATTTTCATACTTTTTCAAGTGGATTTGATAAACACATTTACACACATTTATTTTTGTATGGCACATTTTTATGTGTAATATTTCCCCATACATTTTAAAATGAATGCCTTTTAAAATATATTCGGTTAATATGGTAAAATATTCTAAAAATACATTTTAGTGTTTGGAATGTATTTCAGCAGCGACTGCAGTTCGTTTGAAACGTCTTGTATAATATTTTGTATATAATGTATAATATATAAAAATGCATGTCCATATATTTTTCTCCAAATGTGCGTACCAAACTCTCCACAGCATAACTGATGAAAAGCGCTCGATTCTACGTAATCGGCTCTTCTGTAGCTGCTCTGATCTGATCAGAACTTGTTTGTTTTGCGTGAAGAACTTCCATAGTGTGTAAATCTCACGTATAGATGAATGAAAATATTGATAACAGAGATTTTAAGTGATCTGAAGGGGGATCTCTTACAGTGAGGGTGGTTTTAACCTTTGTTTTTATTTGACCGGGGGGATCGCACCCTCTGCCCTCAAATCTAGCCCTCATGATCTGTTTTGTCAGAGAGTACAGACTGATCGTTTTTATTGAAAATGCAATTTTAATTACATTCCATATTATCAACAGGTTTTAAGTGGGAACGTTTAGCCTAATAACACTGAGCTTGTGAACTGCTTGGGGATGAGTTCAACCAAACACCCATGGGCTGTGACATCACAACCATAACAAGCCAGAAAAAGTGGAAATGCTGCCGCGTTCAAACTCAAAACATTGTGTGCCATTTTGCTACGCTTTCTGGGTTGAATGACGTTTCATCAAAACAGTGTAAAACGGACTTTGAGGTGCATTTTCTCTCATGTGATGGGCGTGTCAGAGGTGTCAGCCAATCAGCAGTGACGTGTATATAAACCCCACCTTATTAAAAAGGCAGCGCACACAACAAATTCTAATGAAGGCCGCTGCAGCTTGGCGCACACAACTATTGAACTATTGAAGACATCAGAATACACATTCGTCATATATATATTTTGTATACATATTATTTTAGTATGAAGTTTTTTTTATAGAATACTATAGAAGGATGCCAATAGTGGCCGTCTCAGCTGCCTTAGTTGCGACACTTGCGTAACACAACAGAGCGTTAAGCGCACCGTTTCCATTTAAATGAACATTTTGCTCCGTTTTGTCGGGTCTGAACGCAGCCCTGGTCTTCTTGGTAAAAAAAGACAGACGCCTCAATTTATAGAAAAAAACGCAATTTAAATCGCAACGCTCGTCAAAAAAACGCAATTAGATATTTCAGCCAAATCGTTCAGCCCTATCGGAGAGGGATCACAATGATGTTTGGTTTTGTCTGTGCACAAAACAGCAAACCGTTGCACAACTCGTTATGCTTCTGACCGACTCTGCAGTCTGAGCAACGACCAGTAAGCGCAATAAAGCAGAAAGGACAAACAAATCTGAGCAGGACTGAGGATTTAAGGTTAACACTTTAAGGCTTTTACACACCGAGCGTGATTTATTCGTGCAATGTTTCCAGATGACAGTAAATTAATTTGAGTGTGTGTAGCTGATGATGTCCTGCACACCAAATGTGATTTTTCACCTGGTGAAAATGCGACATTATTAGGATAAGATAATCCTTTATTAGTCCCACAGTGGGGACATTCTCAGTGCAAAGGGAGAGCAAAGCACTCAGAAAAGAAAAGAAAAGAAAAGAAGTAACAAGAAGAAAATTAGCAAGCGAGTAATTAACCTTCTTAATTACTAAACAAGGTTTATAGTTTGTTACTGGTCACTTTATAGACAATATATATATATATATACTAAAAGTAAAAAATAAGATAAAAATATAAACTCTATCCTTCACAAAAATGAACAATATAAAGCATTATAAATAAACAAAAGCTAAAATATTTACACTGCGAGGATATTTTACCTGAATTTCACATGGAGTTTTGTGGATGAGGTAAAACATCTTTATACTATATTAAATATTTTAAAAATTTTGCACATGGAGTGTTGATTATATTGCACACAGGAACAGGTGATGAATTCAAAGTGTATGATCTGTAGGTGTGTGAGGTCTAATGGGGGATGGGGAGGTTCTACTGGGAGCAGTGCTGGTTGTACAGTCTAACAGCAGCAGGAAGGACCTGCGACAGCCTCCTTCACACACTTGGGGTGAAGCAGCCGGACACTGAAGGAGCTGCCCAGTGCTGCCAGAGTCTCAGTCATGGGGTGGGAACTGTTCTCCAGCATGGATGCTAGTCTGGCTAACATCCTCCTGTCTCCCACCGTCTGCACTGAGTCTAGGGGGCTTCCCAGGACAGAGCTGGCCCTCTTAATGAGCCTGTCAAGTCCCTGCTGGGCCCCTGTGCTGATGAACACCATGTCAAACACACAGTCCCGTGCCCTCACATACTGTGGTCGGTTGGTGAGATAGTCCAGAACAGCCACACAGTCACCCCACTTCCCAACACAGACTGGCACATTAACACACCCACAAACCTTATAAGTGACAAATAATGACATTTAACAACACAGTCCCTTTGGTGGAGGGCGTGTGCACAACATCAGCCTTTTCACATCCACATAAGCGGCCACACCTCCCGAATTCATCGGAGCCAACGTCAGCCAGTAGCAGGTCACTTCAAAACTTTCACACTTTATAGTTTTACCTTTAATGAAGCGTCTAGAGGCCTGCTCCAAACAACGTCACTGTGCTTATACAATAAAGACGTCTTAACTCTTATTTTATTCAGCCTCTGTTTGATTTTTGCAAACTCTCTCCAGCGACAAGAACTCGCCAACCAATCACGATCGTATCTGTACTCGACCCGTTTGGTTTGTGCTTTGTCTTGTGTGAACTGCATCTCTTGAATCTTGAGTATCAGATGAGGCACTAACACCCATCACTGTTAGCATTGCTGGCAGGAATATCCCACTAAATTAGCTAACTTAGCTTAGCAATGCTCATTCTTGAGATGCAGCAGACACTGCCTTTTATCTTACTGTTCCCTTTTATTAAATTAACTTCTACGTAATTAAAGATTATTCATGCGATTAACTACAATAAAGATGATCATTCTTCAGCTTTAATGCTCACTCTGTTCGATGCTGGTACCTGTTTTTTTATTTTAAAGGTGCTCCACAGATCTTGCTGTGTTGTAGTATTATTTTATTATTTTAATTCTTATTTTATTTGCTCTGTGTTCAATTTTTGCGAACTCCCTCCGGCGACATAAACTCGCCAAATAATCATGATTGTTTCTGCACTCGGCCCAGACTGAGGGTGTTTCCACACTTAAAAACCAAAAACCTCAGTCCGCACCCAGGACTGATTCTGGGCTCGTTAGGGGAGGAGCTCATTACCGCTGGTTTGCTTTCACACACAAGAATTCCATCCAAACTGTGGATCGATTGCACAATTCCATATGTCACTTTTCCGTGCGCTTGCAGAATTGTCTGCACCGCCTCATCCGTTTGCTACTTCTATTATTTTCCTTGGATACAAAAACTGAAGCGGTGAAGATCAGCTCTTTCTGTCCACAGCAGAACTGTCCTCTCCCCCATCACCACACTCGAAAAGGGAAGTGACGCGATAAATCAAAGCAGTCAGGATGTATGGACAACTTGGGGCAGTCTGGGCTGGAGGTTAGGGAACCAGCCCTGTGTCCGGAAGGTCACCGGTTTGATGCCTTGAGCCGACAGTATGTGACTGAAGTGCCCTTGAGCAAGACACCTGATCCCCAACTGCTCCCTGGGCACTGTGAATAGGGCTGCCCACCGCTCAGGCCAAGTGTGCTCCCTGCCCCCTAGTGTGTTTGTTCACTAGTGTGTATGTGGTGTCTCACTGCACTAATAAGCCTCACTTAATCTTAATAATCTTTGATGTAAGAGCTCATAAAGTTTAAGTTGTCCGTTTTGTGAGAAGCCAACTGGAGGACTGCAGGGGCCTGATTATTAATACCCACACCCACCTGATTCAACCACTAATCATGTTCGCCTGCACCCGCAAAATCTAGTGTGATTCTTACCCACTGCCACCTGCAAAACCTAGCACCCACCCACTTCAACCCCACGCAGTGCCCACCCGCACCCGCCTACTTTGGGCTGTGTTTGTGCTCCTCGTCAACACCCGTCTGTGCTGGTATCCACTCTGATGGTGTGGGATGTAGTCACACAACCCCTGTGACACGTCGGAGCCTCCAGACCCATCACCCCTCTGCATGCCCAGCAAAGCGAACAAACACTTAAATGTTGCAAAATTAAAGTAAATATTTTGTGTATTTTTAGGCTAATCGAAGCCATGTGAACTCACACAAGGCACCAAACAAAAGCCTTCTTTAAACTTCTCACAGTAAGAATGCTGTACAGCTTTATATAACACTGAGTAGAACTGCACGAACTGAAGAAACCTGATCATAGATGTGTGAGGTTTGAGGCAAAAACAGCCTCATCTCAGTTTCAGTGGTTTGTCAGCTGACGATGATCAGAGGAGAAATGGGTGTGTGCAGTCAATAAAGGAATAAACTTTGTCAGACGGAGGTAAAAAACACATTCGCTGCTGCTGACTGACATTAACGTGCAGTTCATGCTTTAAAGTTGCTGCTTCAGCCGCTTTCAGTGTAACAGTTTTCATCTCCCCCAAAAGCTGTCGGTATCTGAGACAGCGAGAGCTCAGCGGGGAGCAGATGTTTGTTTGGTGTTTGTGTAAAACGTCTACAGTGGCGCTACGGACCCTAAAGACCCGACGCGCCCCCTGCTGGCATGTGTGTATGTTTAGCTTTTTGCCAACTAGTTTATTGTTAGTGAGCTGCCTCAACATCTCCAGCTAACATGGCTAATCTAGCATTTTGGTTATAGTTATTTTCACCGACATTGATTTGTCTCTCTGTAGATGGTCGCTGACGTTACTGTGCTCTGACAGCTGTGAAGGAATCTTTCCAAAAGCATTTATAACCTTTATTTAGTTTGGACTCCCACATTGTTGTGTGTTTCGTTCTCCAACAGTTCTGGACACGTCCTCCAATTCCAATCTTGGCAACTGTGACAAAGATACAGTGACTCTCCTTTCTGTGGTGGCTGAAGTGATACGAGCGCCTGTATTTCCGAGGTTAGTAAGTGTCCGTAAGACAATAGTGGAACTTGTTTTGCTCAGCGTTTACACACTTCCGTTTCTTTTGAAAAGGTCCTATTAACTGTCTAAGCCCGCCCCACTCAGCCAGCCATAATACCCCCCTCCCCCCGCTTAGCCTGCAACCTGTTGGCTGTTTACCCGCAATGACTGCGGTGAAGGGATTCATCTAGAGGGACCGCAGGCCTTGTGCAGGCCTCGAAAACGAATGACCTTGTGATTGATAATCTTCCTGTTTTTCTCAGAGCAAACATTTACTTGTGTCCTTGTATTTATTCTATCATGATAAATATACAAATACAAATAAATACTTACCACCATTTACATAGAAATTTGCACAGAACTGTATGTACGCAAATAACAGCCTGTTGCTTTTGCAATTAAATACTTAAAAAACAGTTTAGGGCTAGTTTCAGCTTCTGGTGGGTGGGTTTTAAACTCATTTTGGGCTAGACCTGGCAACCCTGGCGACAGTCTTCTAACACTTCGCGGAAACCGGAGGACAAAGTGGGATAATCAGAGCGCTCACACCGTTCACACAAAACCGAATCGGAACCGATCCGCTTCCATTTCGTCATGTCGCGCCCCCCCATCCGCTTTCGCCACCGCAGAGCAACCCAATCGGCTCGGTAGGTGTGCGCATGCGCAGTGTAAGGACTAGCCGTTAGCCTGTTAGCCGCTAACAGCGCGACCCGCTGCGGATCGGAGAAACACAGAGAGCCGCGCCGGAGGGAGCCGAAACGGAGCCGAAACCCCGCGGAGACATGACTCCACAACCTGGAAACCCGTATAAGCCGTTATCGATCAGATAGAATATTAGAGTAGCTCGCTCGGAGTCGGTTAGAGAGCGGCTCTCAGTCGGAGGGAGAGTTAGCGTTAGCGTTAGCACCCAGCCTAGCTGCGGTGCTTTGGCGTTAGCATTAGCCAAGCCGCTAACTGCCCCGCTTTTCCCCAACGCAGCGCGGATGAGGAACACGGGCTGAACGGCTCGGGCTGTAAAACGTTGCGGCTGCTCATTAAAACTCTGTAAGTATTTAACTTTTGATTCGTTTTTATTTCTTCAACCTGAATCTCCGTTGGTGCGCTAAGCTAAGGCTAACGCGGATGCAGCGACGAGGCGAAGTTGGCTTCCTATTCGCCAGCTTCTTGTTCGAATATGCCCGTTCCACCTTAAATGGTGAGGCAGTTACGTTCTGGCGCCTCGGGCGCCAGAATGTAACAGCCGCACGATTTAAGGTGGAACGTAAACTTCGAACAAGAAGCTGGCGAATAGTATAGCAGCGAGTAAAACTTTTATCACCCATTGGAAGTTGATTTTTTGATAAATCTGAATCTCCCACCACAAGTTTGGACACTCTCGGTGCTTTATGTGTGAGAGGCCGAGCGCTGTTGATCACAGAACCGGGAGAGAGAGTGGGTGAAGCGGATAAAGTGGCTGAGGAGCCGCCGCGGAGCTTCTTGCCTTAGCTAACATTAGCTTAGCGCCGTTTGTTTTGCTGGATGCGCCCCACAAAAACAAAAACTGCTGGTTTTCTAATGTAAATGGCTGAAGCAGCTGAACCGTGTTCGGCAACAGATAATTAAGGTACAACATACCTTTTTATAGAATTGAAGTTCAGCCAGTAACGTTATGTGCTGTAACTTTAACTAAATCGCCACGATAAAAATCTCACAACTTTTGTACTAATTAGCTAATCGTGTACAGTTTGCGGACACTCGACGTTAGTTAAGTTAAATACGCGTATTTTTCTCAGTTGTGCCGTCTTTAGTTTACGCCGCTTACACTGTTATGTCAATGGCTTTATTTGAATTTCTCGCTCCACCTTAAATGGCGCTGCAGCGGCGTAGCGGTGTACATACGCCAGAATGGAGCTGCCGCACTGTTTAAGGTGGAACGGGAAAATTCGAAAAAGACGCGAAGTCAAGCCTCGTTTGTTTATGTACATGTTGGCCCGAGTTAAACAGCTATAGTTGGCCGTATTTAGCCGGTCAGCATCACATTTTCGGCTCGAGGGTGAATTTCATTTGGGATTGATTCTGCCCGAGTGGGTTCTGTGGGCTGTGAGCTGTAAGTGAAAGGCGCAGTGAGCTGAGGGCAGTGTTGGTGTGGAGCTGAGGGCCGGAGGGAGGGGCGCTTATGAAAATATTTCAGGAATTTTTCATTCTCCAAAACCATCTCGGCCCTCAGATCAGCCGCTGCTCCTCAGGGCATGGAGCTCAAACCCTGCTGATCCAGCCGGCCTGCTGGGCTGATCCCGCTCCGGACCCCGAGCACATGCAGCTCTCTTTTAGGAAAAAGTGACAAACTGGATTATTGAAGGGGGATTCCACCGATTTTTAAAATTTTCTGCATAACTGGTTAGGAAAAGTAAACAGAGTCATTCACAGAGTTGGGCTTGGTGGTATCACAATATATATTGTTATTGTAATAAAGTGTCACAATTACAAAACGATATGCAGTTATGAACATATTGTGGATGTTTGGTGTGCAACAGATCACAAAGTTCACGGTTCAGATTGCATCACAGTTTTGAGTCATGGATCGGATCTAGGGCTGAACGGTTTGGGGAAAATATCTAATTCAGAATCAGAATCAATCTTTATTGGCCAGGTTTGCTTACACATGCAAGGAATTTGGCTTTGGTTACAGAGCTCACGTTGCACAGTATCAGACAAACATTTACATGTCGTAAATAAAATAAAATAAAACATGCGCTCCTACCATCACTCACACACGGTCATACCTGTAAATCTTACATTGTGATTACAGTGTAATTGTGGTTTTTCTGGCTAATATTGCAGCTGCAATTTAAATTGCGATTTTTTTTTTTCTGTAAATTAAGGTTCAGGCCTTTTTTGCAAAGAAGACCAGAATATCTTCTTTTTCTGGCTTGAGGCTTCACCTCTGCATGTAATGTGCCAGTAAGTTGTGGTTGTGAGGTCACAACACATGGAGGTTTGGCTGCCTCTGATTGCTCTACAGGCAGTTCACAACAAGCTCTGTGTTATTATGGTCAAGTTTCCCCACTTAAAACTAGTGTGTTTGATAATGTAGGGTATAATTTTTTTTTTAATTTGCGATTTGCAAATTGCAGTCTCAAACTGCTTGACTTTGATGTAAAAACAATTGTTCTTTTACCACAAATGAAATGTGTACACAAGGATTAATCATCGCCTCAGTATCTAAACGTGGAGTAACAGAGAAAACTGTTTGAACGTGTTAACCTCAAATGTGTTTCTTAGGTTGAAGCTGAAACTCAGTCAGGAACCTTGTTTAAGTTGAACTTGCTTTTTGAGGTAGGCCCAAGTTAGCTCAGTCAGGCTGCGGTGATGTAGCCAGGTAAAAAGTGATCCAGGTTTGTCTATGAGCTAAGTCTAAAGTTAGCTGGCTAAGCCATTAGGATCAGCAAAAAAATGGGAAAAAATATGACTTTGCTTTCCATTCATTACTTAAAGGACTTAAATAACATTCAAAGCAAGGAATGTTTTGCCCATGTTCCTAAATGAAAACAGCATTCAGGGTGTTCAGTGTTTAAATAAAATCTTAAAATAAAATAGTCAATACTCAGTTGTTAAAGTGCAGTGAAAGGCATGATGATACCATCCTACTTTGAACAACAGTGAGTGAAAAAATAGCCCTTTTATTTTTTCACTGCAGTTCTTCATCGAGATTTAGGGAATTTTTATTTTGAAAGTAACAATGACAGTAAAACTGTATTCCACACTACTATGGTTATACTTTGGTAAGCTGTGTTCCAGATAGCCCGGATCGAAACAACATCACACGGATGTTTATGTCTGTATTTACCGCCAAAAATAACCCTCAAACCATGACGCTGGTCGCACGTTATCAACGGCAGTTTAAAATGATTGTGCATAAGCATAGAGTACGATTTTGGTGGCTGGTCAAATTGCAGTGAAACTTGCTTTCAAGGTATTTCATTTTCCTTCTCGTTGTAATTTGGCCATCAAAAATGCTGTGGATTTCAGTAGCCTTGTCATGAACTTGAGGATTAAGGAATTGGGTAAAATCAAGCTCCGTTTAGCTGTTAGCCTCGTCTTCAGGTCACAAAAAAGAGATTAAAATGGAGACGTTTTCTGTTACCCAGTTTTATTATTACGTTACTGAGCTGTCGATTGGAGCAGGATCTCTGTTACTGAGGAGTTATAGAAGGTAATTCACTCTGGAATTATTACTTATCAGACTACAAATCCCTGATTGGTCAGGAGGCTATCCCTGTCTGTTTATTGTAAATGTAATACATGCATGTGCATGTGGGGATTAATCATCGCCTGACTATGTGAATGTGGATTAACAAAGACAGTTGTTTAAACAAGTTAACTCAAATGTTTCTTAGTTTTGTGAAGCTGAAGCTCAGTCAGGAACCTTGTTTAAGATGAACATCCTTTTTGAGGCAGGCCCAAGTTAGCTCAGTCAGGCTGCAGTGATGTAGCCAGGTAAAAAGTGATCCAGGTTCGTCTATGAGCTGAGTCTGAAGTTAGCTGGCTAAGCCGTAAACCCTGCTTTGTTAGACAAGCCGCTGATTTCGTGGAGATCTGGAAGTATCCAGTTATCCCTGGCTAAAGGAGGTGATGCTGTTTGGTCAGAAGTGATATAAACACCCTGTCAATTCTCACAGGCGCATCATCAGCATCATCGTCACAGGCAGCTGCAGCACTTATGAAGAATGACAGTGTGTGTGCTGGTGGGGAATGAATCAGGAACCCTGATGGCTGGATCTGGGTGAGAATTCAGAGGCGTTCATCACTCACAGTGCTTTCAGTATGATTTCTAATGTGTGGCTCATTTATGCCCTGGAGAGTCATTGTGTTTGTGTTTGTGTGTCTGTGTGTGTGTGTGTGTTTGTGCGTGTGTGTTAGGCATCAAATGGTCCTCTGAAGAAGCCATGGGAAGCTGCTGGAGCTGTCCAGACAGAGAGTCAATTCCTGACAATCACCAGAGTAAATTTAAGGTGAGTGTGGGCGTTGTGGGCTGGATCTGTGTAATAAGCTGTTAGTCATCAGTTATCAAATCAACCCAGAGCTTCCGTATCGGTGCAGCTCTGATTGTGAAGGTAGGTGCTGTTTGATTTGGTTTGATGGGGTCAATGTGATTGGTATTTATCTGTTTACAGGTGGTAAATATATTCTTGGTAGTTAATATAAGTGGTTTATATTCATAATAATTTGTTAACAGGTGTTTAGTCTGGATGTTTTTGTTTACGAGTGATTAATGTGGATGTTTACTTGTTTACAGGTGGTTAATGTGGATGATGACGGGAATGAGCTGGGTGCTGGAATCATGGAGCTGACTGAAGAGGAGCTGGTCCTCCGCACACACAAGTGTGACGCGGTCAGGTGGCCTTACCTGTGCCTGCGTCGCTATGGTTACGACTCCAACCTCTTCTCCTTCGAGAGCGGCCGCCGCTGCCAAACCGGGCAAGGTAAACAAATAAATACATAAATAAATAAAACATGAGCTGCATTTATGACTGGGTTTGTGTGTTCTGTGGTGAGGAAACAGTGTATAATTTAAAAATTATTTCTTATAGTTTTTAATGGATGAAATAATTCCCTTCTTTGTGTGTTTTGTTTTTGTAATGTTAGTCTGGCTGTCTGTGTACTAAGGAAGCTGTGTTTCAGAAATGTGGAGATTCCTGCTGAAGTGATGGAACAGAACTTTGCTTCACCTGTTGTCATTTGTCCTTTGGCTTTTATTATGAGTATATATCGAGTTTATAGATTTTCTGTTCTTTTTTAAGTTGAGTACCATATTAAAATGATGTAGTCAGTGGCCATCGACTGTAAGGATGGGTGTCGTTAGGATATCGCTGGTTATCAGGACGGCTCACGCTAAGCTCAGACTGAGGCTGCCTATCCATTAGTGATTTATTCTGTGCGAGTTACTGGCTACTAAATTGTAATTCTGTACGGAGTTAGCTTAAAGGGGAATTCCACCAATTTTTCAAAGTGTCTGTATTATTGAGTGTGTGAGGTGTAAACAGAGAGATTCAGAGTGGTTTGGTGTGAAATGGTTCAGATGTCTTTACAGTGGTGGTCATAGGAACCACGGGTTGCCATGACTACAGCACAGATATAGACATTTTATTTACTATCCAGAACCACCAGTGAACCTACACGAGTCTTCTGAGTTTATATGGAATGTTGATGATGGAAAATAGTGGAAACATCTGAAATAATAAGTTTTCTTTGGGGACTATTTTGCCTCACAGCGCCCTGCATGTATCCCTCCACCATGAATGGAGTTTAAGTTCTCTAAACTATCATAAAACAGTGTCTCAGTCATCAGGCAGTGAATTCATAACCATTTCATGTAGGAACTTTCTGTGAGGGAGCTTTTAGAGGTGGACGTCTGGTTCCTATCACCACCACTGTGAACAGTTCTGACTCGGTAAGTTTATCTAGAACAGAGCGTTTCACACCAAACCACTCTGAACGACTCTGTTTACATCTTAACCATCTGATTATGTAGAAATTTTGAAAAATCAGTGGAGTTCCCCTTTAATATCATTAATATTTATAAGGTAGCGCAGTTACCACCAGGAGGCAGCACTGAGAACGCAGGAGCGCAGCCACTTTACTAAAGCAAACATGCTGCACTGCTTCAGATTTATAGCATGCTGTAAGTGTTTCATGAAGTTGTTGGTGTTTACACACAACTACTTTACAACTACCACTTTAGATATATTACATTTAGCTGCATTATCATTCAATTTAATAACATGAGCTCACAGAACACAGAATGAATGGTTAAAGAAGTCGCTGTCGTCACACAGAGGTTCTGTATAGAACCATGAACACTTTGCATGAGTAGAGAGTTCTTTACATGGTGTAAGCGTTCTTTAGATTGATGGAGAATGTGTTGTGTATGGTATAGAACCTTTTAGGTGCTGTGAAGAACCGTATACAACACATTCTCTATCAATCTGAGGAAGCTTCATTGTTAAGTGTTTACTGTATGTTGGAGGTGCAGCAGGTAGAGATTCAGCTGAAAGATCAGATGTCAGAATACAGGATACAGGAGTTTTACTTGAAAAGCTGTTAAATGTCTGTTAAATGGACAGGATGATTCACTCTTTATGTTGGGAGTTTGTGCCCCAAACTTTCTACTTTAGTTTCCTTCCTGATTGTAGTGCATTTTGTTGATTTCCTATGCATATAAAGTTAATTATAAGTTTTAATATATTTAAATTTTTTATTATTATTTTTTTTTTAGTGCTGCTGTTGGTACAGTAACCGACAGATATTCGCATGGTACCCATCTGTGTATGTGTGTTAGTACTGGCTATGTTCTGTTTATTTGCTGTGTTTGTTTAGTGCCTTTTGCATACTTATAGCCACTTGGCTGTAGTGTTAAGGCTCCCCGGTGATTTGGGATTGCACGTGTGCAGCTCCGAACACAGTGATTAATGTGAGACTGTTAACTTTGACCCCATGCTTTCATAAGGATGAGCTCGAGCGGCTCCGCAGGGTGAGTAAAGGAGGCTTGCTGTGCCCCCCCACCCCCAAAGCCCCTTCCTTAAAGCTGCAGTACACTGCACAGCGTGGCCCGTGTGACAGTAGTGTTGCAGTTTGTGAACTGTTGTGTTTATTTCAGTCTTGTTGTTGTTTTGTTTTCATCATCAGGTTGTGTGCTGGAGATAGATAGTGAGCATCACTCAGTGGTTGTGTGGGTTGTTGGTAGGGCTGCAACTAACCATTACTTCTGAAATCGATTAATCATTCGATTAATCGAGTAAACTAACTGTTCTGCGCTCTTTTTGCCACCATCATCATTCAAAGTTTAAAAGAAGACTTTTATTAAAATGAGGCAAAAGTCATATCACCCCTTGTGTGGATCATACGAACATTATAGAGCTTTTTAAATGAAACAGTAGAAGCCATATCGCCCCCTACACTTCCTGTAGTGTATTACAGTCTGTCAGAGTGACTGTGTGGATCATACGAACATTATAGAGGCTTTTTAAATGAAACAGTAGAAGCCATATCGCCCCCTACACTTCCTGTAGTGTATTACAGTCTGTCAGAGTGACTGTGTGGATCATATGAACATTATAGAGCTTTAATTAGTGTTTAACGTGTGGCTAATAAAAATCCAGATCTGTGTAACATATTTCCTAATTGATGTCGACTGAGCGTTGCAGCCCTAGTTGGTGTTGTAGTTGTGCTCAGCGCTGGTTGTTTTGCTAACGTGCAGCTGTTTGTGCTCTCCTGCAGGGATCTTTGCCTTTAAGTGTGCGCGAGCGGAGGAAATCTTCAACATGCTGCAGGACATCATGCACAACAACAGCATCAGTGTGGTGGAGGAACCCGTGTTTGAGCCGGCGCTCACACACACCGAGCCGGACCCTCCGCTCACCCCACGCACTCCCACCAGTAAGAACACAGTCTCTCATCCTGCATCGTAACCCCTACACTTCAGTTAAGCGTTATTTATGTTAAGCTGTTGCCACGAAACAGCTTTAGAGGACCAGCTTTACTTCTTCTTCACGCTCACTGCTCAGACGTGAACATGAGGTAAAAAAAAAAAAGGGCCGGTTTCTTTTTTGGACGTTCATCATGGACGTTCATCATGGACGTTCATCATGGACGTTGGTGGGTTTACATATCAAGAATTAAAGTCTTTACGTACCAGAAACATTCATTTCTTCCCTTTTCCAACCTCTCTTTATCCCTCTGTACATTTCCAGTGCCTTAGACTGATATATCTTGTGATTGGCTGTCATGTGTTGTGTCTCTTTCCAAAAGTAGTGTGGTTTGAATGGGTGGGGCTAAACCTATGCAGGTTGAATGGGTGGAGCTAAATTGATGTAGGTTGAGTAGGTTACGTACACTATATGGCCAAAAGTATGTGGACGCGCCTCTTTATTATTGAATTACTAACAGATGTGTAAAATCAAGCACAGCCTTGCCTCCTTAGACAAACACTGGGCAGTAGAATGAGCTAAGCTGATGCAGGTTGAATGGGTGGAGCTAAACGGATCCATTTCACAATAATAAGCAACAACAGCTCAGCCTTGATGCAGAAGACTCACAGAGCTGGGCTGCAGAGTGTTGAAGCGTGTAAAAATCTCCTGTCCTCTGCTGCGTTGCTCAATACAGAGAACCAAACTGCCTATGGAAGCAACATCAACACAAGAACTGCTCGTCAGGAGCTTCAGGAAATGGGTCTCCACGGCTGAGCAGCTGCACACAGGCCTGAGATCACTATGCTCAATGCCAAGCGTCGGCTGGAGTGGTGTAAAGCGCCGCCACTTGACTGTGGAGCAGTGGAACCGTGTTCTCTGAGTGATGAATCAGCTTCTCTATCTGTCAGTCTGATGATGAATCTGGGTTTGGTGGAGGTCAGGAGAACGTTACCTACCGGAATGCAGAGCCAACAGTACAGTTTGGTGGAGGAGGGATGATGGGCGGGGCTGTTTTTCAGGGTTTGGGCCCTCAGTTCCAGTGAAGGGTGATGTTGATGCTGCAGCACAAAGACATTTTACACAGTTATCTGCTTCCAGCTTTGTGTCAGCAGTTTGGGGAAGAGCCTTTCTGTTCCAGCATGACTGAGCCCCTGAGCACAAAGCAGCTCCATAAAGACATGGAATGACCAGTTTGGTGTGGAGGAACTCCAGTGGCCCTCACAGAGCCCTGACCTCAACCCCACTGAACACCTTTGGGATGAACTAGAACGGAGATTGTGAGCCAGACCCTCTAGTCCAACATCAGTGTCTGACCTCACAAGACTGAATGAGCACAAATTCCCACAGACTCTCCAACATCTTGTAGAAAACTCCCCTGCAGAGTGGAGGCTGTTGTAGCAGCAAAAACATGGATTTGGAATGGGACGTCCAGCAAGCTCTTATGGGTGTGATGTATAGGTGTCCACATACTTTTGACCATGTGGTGTATGTATTGAACCTGTTGGTGAGCTGATGGACCTGCTGATGGTTTTAGGTGTGAGAGCTGAACGTGTCTGTTCTCTGCAGGTGCTGCTCTTCCTGCCTTACCGAATGGGAGCCTGCGGTACCCGTCTCTGGGAGACGCCTCCTCTCACCCCTCCAGCAGACACCCGTCAGTGGGCAGTACCCGCCTGCCCTCAGTGGGAGAGGAGTCCACACACCCGCTGCTGCTGCCGGACGACTCCGTGCGGGTGAGTGCTGAGCGCAGTCATGTGACCCATAGAGAGGCCAGCAGATTAAAACTGTACTGCAGCAGACTCAACAAATCTGTGGGCAGATTAAAACATGTGTTTATTTCATTTTTAACTACTGTTGTGCTGCAACCTGAACTGGCCATTGTTTATTCAAAATATGCAAAAACTTCAACAGTAAAATACAGGCACTTGAAGTAGACTTTGAAATATTATCTGGGTGAATATTACACTCCTGCCATCCTTCCTTTGCAGGATGTTCATTAAGACTTGGGCTCAGTTTCTGAGCTGCTGAGCTGATGTTGTGTGTTCTTAGTGGTTCAACTGCAGCTGAAATGCATTTTGGTGATATGACTGTAGAATTGTGTAGAGCTGAGGTGTAACTGCTGTCCCAGAGACCGTTGTTGGGGTGGGAGAGTCGGAGCACACATTTCGCTGCGGTGCATGCTGGGGACTGTAGTGCAGCCCATTGTGAAACAGTAACATTAACTAATATTAATAGAAAATTAAAACACTTTTACAGCCCGGGTAGTTGTTAATGATATGTTAATTGAAAATATGTTCGATAATTACCGAGCAAATTTTCATGCTTCAGGAGATTATTGCGGTATAGTTTAAATATACCGAATACGTGAACTGTTCTTTGTTTTTGTTTCTTTTTTTGTTTTTTTGTTTTTTTAATAAAGTGTTTGCTTATTATTCCTATTCCTTTGTTTTCATAGATATTGTGGGGAAAAAACTGACCCCAGCCTTGATGCATAGCTTGATCTGCAGTTGTTTTTTAGTTAAAAACAATAAATATAGCGGTGCTTTTGAAATTTGTCACATTTCACGAATGTATCACAGTATCAGCCCCTGCTTCCTCAGTGCTGCTACTCCACACTAAAGAAAATGTTTTATGTTCTGTTTTTTTTCTATTAAATTTACACCCAAGGAAGCCTTGCACAGTTTTATGGATTCTAATAAAATATAAAAGCACATTTACAGACGTTTATATATCTTTAAACTGTTCTTACAAAACAATCTGAAGCACTAAATGATGCCCATTGTCGGGTTCTATATATGATAAGAAAAGTGCATAAAATTAAAAAGACTGAAAACAAGTTAGTTGGTGCTGAATGTTATTATGGATCTAACACTCATTATTACTGATATAATTCTCATTATTCAACACTGAAAATAAATATTACGGTATAATATCACAGCACACCTGTTTAATGTGTGTTAAGTTTCATGAAAGTTCATCATGATATTTCTGCCATGTTTCCTGTCCGTAGTGTTGAGCGTGGAACTGTGTTAGCACAGGGAGTTCTAGGTCTGTTTAATAATGCAGAATTTCTTAGTAAAGCTGGGTAATTTAAGCCCCAAGTGAGGACTGTCCAACAGAAATGTTCCTGACCTCTCGTCCTCTTGGCTAGCTAAAAAAAAATCTTGCCACTCGAAGCTCGTGTGCTGATATACGGTGTTTGTGTTTAGGGCCACACGTATGTGAACACGACGGGTCTGCTGGAGGATCAGCATGGTGCTTTAGATGCCCCCCCACCCCACAGCCCCCCCGCAGCAGAGGGGGACGAGGGCCTGCAGGCTCCGGAGCCCGGCCCACGGGTCCAGCTGGAGACGGAGGGAGTCCGCTTCGTCCTCGGCCCCACACCTGTCCAGAGGCAGCTGATGGCCCGGGAGAGGCAGCAGGAGGCCGGCCGGGCGAGCGAGGGGGCAGCCGGCCCCGCCCAGAACACTTTTGCTAATACTAATGCTAACGGTACAGTGGCACCTCCGCCCAGGCCGGGCACGGCAGAACAGGACAGCAGCACGTTTAAAAAAGGTCAGGAAAACAGTTTATTCCTAATTTAATTGTTTGGGAATAGGATGGTAGAAGAACTTCAACATTTCTGATTGTTTCTATTGTTGATGTTATATTATCCCAGTATTGTTCAAATAAAATATGTGAAGAACACCAGTACACTGAAATCATTTCATGGCAGGTATGTTCATAGATGCATACAGTACCTCTTATATTTCTTTAAAGTAAAATTATGTATGTTTATTGCAGTTGTTGGAAATCGAAGTGGTATGATTATCGTTAGTCTCTTAATCTCTAATCTCAAAGATGGTTCTTCAAGGGTTCCTTAGTAAAGACAAAGGTTTTATATAGAACACTTACAGAACTATGCGCATGCTTAGATGTGTTTTTTTTTGCATGGTGAAATGGTTCTTCAGATTGATGGAGAATGTGTTGTATGTGGTTCTAAATAGAAAATTTTGGACAACGGTTCTGCATAGCACCAAAAAGTATTCTTTGATTATATACAAGCTTGACATTTTAACAATAGCAGAACCCTATTTTGGTACTGTATAGAACCCATTTCAAAAAAGACTCTATACAGAACCATACACAGTGCATTCTCCATCAGTCTGAAGAACTGTTTCACTGCGAAGAACCATTTAAGCATGTAAAAAATGTTGGTTTATTATTCAATGACTAATCTTAATGTTTATTGATCAGTAACTACTGTGAATTGTTTATTATTATAATTATTATTATTGCTTATTGTTGTTGTTGTTATTATTATTGTTGTTGTTGTTGTTGTTGTTATTTTTATTAATATTATTATTGTGTTGCAGAGAGTGGCCGGGTGGACGAGGCTCCGGATCAATTGAACGGTCCTGTTCCCGTTCCTGTTCCCGTTCCCGTCCCGGCCGTGTACGGTCCGTCCCGCCGCAGGACGCGTCCGCCGCCTCTCAGTCCCGACGCCAACGTCAACAACTCGGCCCAACGCAGAACGGCCCTGCTGGACTACGAGAACCTGCCGGCGCTGCCGCCGCTCCGAGAGGACCCGAAGGCCGGCTCCGAGGACGAGGACGAGTCCCTGCGGTCCACGAAGCATCCGCAGCCGCTCAACGGCTTCACACACAACCACCGGGGGCAGTGCAGCCCGGACGCCGCCCACCTCTACATAAACACAGAGAACGTCACGGCGCCCCCTAGCTCGGGGAAGCTGGAGTCGGCCCGCTGGCGCGATCGCTCCGCCCCCAGCGTGTTCAGCTTCGACTTCCGGCGGCCCTGCGAGCCGCACGCCCTCAACTACATAGAGGTGGAGACGGAGCCTGACAGAGAGCGAGAGAGGGGGTCGGACTCGAGCGCCCCGCAGACCCCCAAAACCCCAACGTCCCCCCTCCCGCAGACGCCCACGCGCCGCACCGAACTGTACGCCGTGATTGACGTGGAGCGGACGGCTGCCATGTCCAGCCTGCAGAAAGCACTGCCACGCTACGACGGTACCTCCAGGAAAACACGCCACAACAGCGTGGACCTGCCCATGTGAGCCCCCCGCCAAACCTACCCTCCCGCCCCTCGACACACTGTTCCCTCTGAGGCAGGGTCATCAGGGCCGTTGTGGAGGGCGAAAGCTTCCAGCGCGGTTTGGTGATTTCACTGCTCTGACACCCGACTAGGGCTGCACCGTATATCACACAGCATAGAATAAACATAGAATTAAAACCTCTCTTTGTTTTCATTAACTACCGTGTTATGAGATCCTGTTGTCTTGGCTCGTCTGCGCTTTGCAGAGATGCTGTAGCGTCGCGCCACTTACAGGAATAGTCAATCATACTTGCTAATGTTGCTAACAATGAATGCAATCCAGTTGACCTCCGTTAGCATGGCCGTCTGAATAACAGTTACATTCAGGGTTAGAAACATTAGCATTTTTGACTGAAAGCAGTCACACACGGTTATTGGAATCTGAAACGGTACGATTATCAGAGTTTTATGTTGTCGTTTGTTATTCATTTGTTATTCGTTGTGATGTCGGCCTTTGAAACATAGATATCACAAAAGGCTTTGGTGTGAAAAATGAGCTCCCTGATCATCATATTAGGATCATTTTATACATGTATATGTAACAAAAGTGGTTTTATATCATTGAAAACAGAGACTCCAAACTTTTAAATGGTGACCTTTGCAATACAGATGTGCGAATGAGCTCTGGGCGCTGCCTTTATCTCAAACCTGGACGAGTTTCTGGTGCATTCATGTGATCTTGCACCTGTAAAGAAGCATTAATCAGGCTCCACCTTCGTCTCATCCAGGGTTGTAATATATTGCCAGATGCATTGCAGTCACAGTTGTACACTGCTGTTCAAATGTTTGGAGTCACTCATCTTGTTAATAGTTGTTATACCAACAAGCAAACACCAAGTAAGATTAAAGCACTTTTTCATTCATCATTTTAATTATCAGTTATCATTTAGTCAGTTTGGGTGTTTTTCACACCACATTGTATGTCTTTACATATTAATGTTAGACTCAAAAAGAAGGTCCGGCTCGATGTTTCGGCCTCAAATGATCTCAAATCATCATCATACTGATGAAGATATGATGACAATAGTAAATAATTCACTCACATCCTCAGAGACGCTCCTCACCAAGTTTAGACTGAGTTCTCTTTCAATTATCAGATTCATCCGCTTGGCAAAGGGATGCCTATGTTTTGCATGTCGCATGCAGTTACACATTTCCACCAGAGAGGGCTCCAAACCCCCTAAACTTGCATAGTACAGCTTTAGCTATTTTAAACAAAGCTGTTCAAATTAAAGCTGCTGACAGTTGCTTGTTACAAAATAATGATAAATAGAGCAGATTGTGACTATTTTTGAAATATAAAGCATTAAGAATAATTTTATTATAACTTCACTCAGCTACTTTTCTCAGTCATTATGGAATCATCTTTCTTAGTTTTCACAGCTACAAGTTGTTTAGCATCATAAAATCATTTTCTCTGTGTATCTGCAACAAAATTGGTTTTACATCATTGTAAACAAACTTTGAATGGCAGTGTAACTGCAGTAGGTGGCGCTGTGCAGCACGAACAGTTGATGACTGAGTTAATTCAGGTGTATCAGAGCAGTAAAATCCACTGGACCGTGCTGGACTGAAGCCCTCCAGGATCGAAACTGATGACTCCTGGTCTGATGAGCTCGTTTGAAGAGGAAGCAGTCGGTCAGAACGTCACTCTGCTTATATCAAAGTGAACTCTCGGAGGGAACGGTGTACCCCGCCCCACCCCGCCCCGCCCCACCCCACGCTGCACCTTTTTATATAAATAAACTGTTTAAAAACTCCAAAGGCAGGTGGGCTCGCACTCACGAATGTCAGCTTTTTTCAGAACACCTGTAGAACTTTTTTTTTGACGTAGTTGAACGAGTCGCTCTGTGAGAGGTGCAGGCCGACGGACGGCGCGGCTTCGCCACACAATCATTTTATTCCTATGGTAATATAACTACTACTCCCCTTACACTCATTTTCCAGTGCCTGTGTATTGTGGTTTTATTATGTTAATAACAAGGTTGGACTACAGTCCTTGTCCATTCCATACAAATCAGTATTACTGATCAAAGCATTCCTGTTTGTTTTCATTTGTTTTTGTTTTTTTTTTTGCCTTTATATTGAAATGACACTACAGGTTGTTGTAATATCAATATCCAGGGACGTTACGGTACACTACAGCTGCAATTTTTCTCTGACTGCATATAGATTTCACTACTCAGCACAATAAAAGTCTATTTTGTTTGATTCATATTTGTCAGTTTGAGGGGTGTGACTGAGCTGATACCCTTCCGTCGTGCTCAAAACAAAAACAAAACACCTGCTTGTTTTTATCGTGCTTGTCTGTCACCTCCCCGAATTCTCCACTGCTCTCCTGATCATGTGAGGTTGCAGGAGTCAGCGGCTCTTTATGGATTTTATATTCCAAAAACAGATGATGCCATTATCAACCAATCAACCAACCAGCCAACCTTTATTTAGACCCTTATTTACAGTGCAGGTGAGGAAATGCAGAGATCAGAGAAATCTAAATAAATAAATAAATAAAATGCTGCACTTCACACCTGAAAAAAACAGTTCATATAAATCCACACCTGTAAATGAGGTAAAAACACTGTAATATAAAGTTAGATATCAAGTTATTGACCCTTCGCTGTTCACACCTGGTTTTGAGTATTAGGATTATATCCAGATAGAGTTTCCACATTAAAAATACAGGTGTAAACACAGCCACTCAGTCCTGTTTTTAAGGTCCTTCAGTTCAGCCTTAAATTTTAATATTTTAAATGTGAAATTAAAATGTTTTACTTTGACTCAAATAATATTAATTATTTTGTATCGTTTAAAGTATCCAAGTCAGATCTTAGCCAGGTGTGAATACATCCTGCTGTCCAAACCACACTTCACAATTTAACCCCTCCCAGTACTGTGACTCCTCCCCCTGCTGCTTTGCAAATGGGAAGACTCCACCCACTGAACCATCTCAACTAAACAGTGGTATTTTTAGGCCTGTCACAATTATTACCATCATCTGATTACAATTATTGTGATTCAGAGTGGTTTGGTGTGAAACGGTTCAGATGTCTTTACAGTGGTGGTGATAGGAACCAGGGGTCGCCATGACTACAACACAAATATAGACATTTTATTTACTATCCAGAACCACCAGTGAACCTACACGAGTCTTCTGAGTTTATATGGAATGTTGATGATGGAAAACTGGAAAATCTGAAATAATAAGTTTTCTTTGGGGACTATTTTGCCTCACAGCGCCCTGCATGTATCCCTCCACCATGAATGGAGTTCATAAAACAGTGTCTCAGTCATCAGGCAGTGAATTCATAACCATTCACTGTAGGAACTTTCTGTGAGGGAGCTTTTAGAGGTGGGACGTCTGGTTCCTATCACCACCACTGTGAACAGTTCTGACTCGGTAAGTTTATCTAGAACAGCGTTTCACACCAAACCACTCTGAACGACTCTGTTCACATCTTAACTGTTTAATTATGCAGAGAATTTGAAAAATTGGTGCAGTTCCCCTTTATCACTCTGCACATGCTCACCCTTGTTTTTCTAAGTCTGAATAATTGATGAATTAGCATATGCTGGTTCTGGTACTTTGCCCTGCAGCAGTCACAGAAGCCAAGACGCATCTGATGCTGTTTCCTGATTATTTATGTTTCAGGCTGAAGTGATCAGTTGTTTCCAAGTTCGTCCAGATCAGCAGTTGAGCTTCATCTGCCCTGTGTTCAGTCCTCCAACATCCTCGCTGTGATCAGTTTAAACCACCACAGCCTCATTATGTGGTCAGGCAGTCTAGGCTGGAGGTTAGGGAACCAGCCCTGTGACCAGAAGGTGGCTGGTTTGATCCCCTGAGCCGACAGTACATGACTGAAGTGGCCTTGAGCACCTAACCCCCAACTGCTCCCCTGGGCGCTGTGGATAGGGCTGCCCACCGCTCTGGGTGTGATCACTGCCCCCTAGTGTGTATGTGGTGTTTCACTGCACAGATGGGTTAGAATGCGGAGGTGAAATTTCCCTGCTGTGGGTTTAATAAGGGTCACTTAATTAATGAATAAATCAAGCTGTTTATCTGAGCACACAGTCTGTCTGGAAGTGATCGGTCTGTAAAGTTGGGGCTCAGCTGGACTTAGAAACTCAATTCAATTTTCAGATTTTCCTTCAGCCTCAGTGTTGGGGGTCGTTTTACTGAAACTTCTTAACTCTGACATCTGATCTGTTTGGTCACCATGACGACTGAATTTCAGACAATATCTATTCCAGAATAACAGTTCCTACCTTCATAATCTCATCATGAACTCCAGATAAGAAAACAGCATCACACAAACATCCTAACTAGACTAAACCTCCTAAATCCTGTCCTAACTTTAGGATGAACCCCAACAGGGTCCTCACTTCTGTCTAAGGTCCGTTTCTATGGTTTTTAGGCAGCTGAGTCAGCAGCATAGTTCACTACCAGCATAATGAGCTCCATTTATCTCTACTGTAAAACGCTGCTTTCACTGTGAGATGATTTTCTTTTCTAACTCTGCGTTTTAAAGATCTCAGACGCTGCAGACTCGATCTCCACCGCCCCTCTGATCACCTTCGTGTGTTAATGTTGATGATGAAATATTACAGTGATGGTGGTGAATAATGAGGAGGCGGAGCTGAACGTGTCTTTTTTTTTTTAGGAGTAACGTTAGAACCTCCTCTACATGCTTTGAGGGGTCTATAATTAGCTCCATGCTAACTGGTGGGATATTGTTAGCTATATTAGCCCTGTAGCTCCAGAAAACTTCAGATATGAAACGCCCTTCGACTGTCTCACCATATTAACTGTAAGAGGATGAATGAGATTTTTTTGCTGATTGTTGCTTTAATAGCTGTGACAAATGCCAGTTTCCTCTCTTTCAGTGTTCGGTAGAAACGTTTTTGGCAATTTATTGAAATAATGACACCAACTTACTCTTAACAGAAACTGAAAACGTTTTATTGCATATAAAATAGTTTACAAAACTCCATATTAATGTAGTCAAGTGATAGAAAAATAAAGTCCAGTGGTGGCCGCTGCTGTTTGGAAGTGAAGCGCCGCGTTGGGGTCGTGTTCAGGTGGGTTTGTGTTCAGTGAGCGTGCAGACGGTGTCTGGTACTCTGTTCCACCAGCCTGTGGTACTCGTCCAGCTTCACGCTCAGCTTCTCATACACCTGCACAGAGTCCACAATTCAGCACACAGGGATCACTCAGAAACCATCGTAAATAGGGGTGGAACGATTCTGAAGGCGGTGATTTATTCTGACACTAGGGGGCGATACGGCTTCTACTGTTTCATTTAAAAAGCTCTATAATGTTCATATGATCCACACAGTCACTCTGACAGACTGTAATACACTACAGGAAGTGTAGGGGGCGATATGGCTTCTACTGTTTCATTTAAAAAGCTCTATAATGTTCATATGATCCACACAGTCACGCTGACAGACTGTAATACACTACAGGAAGTGTAGGGGGCGATATGGCTTCTACTGTTTCATTTAAAAAGCTCTATAATGTTCATATGATCCACACAGTCACTCTGACAGACTGTAATACACTACAGGAAGTGTAGGGGGCGATATGGCTTCTACTGTTTCATTTAAAAAGCTCTATAATGTTCATATGATCCACACAGTCACTCTGACAGACTGTAATACACTACAGGAAGCATAGGGGGCGATATGGTTAAGCTAAAAATGGCTGGACAGTTTAATCAAAGTCAGTAGGTTAATTGATTATGTAAGTGATCACTAGTCGATGGTGTTCTGCCGTGCTGTTTGCTGACCTTGGTGTTGGCCTGGCTGTCTCTCAGGCTGTGCAGCAGCTGGTCAATGGAGGTGTAGGGCAGCCAGACGTGCGGCGCTGTGGCCGAGAGCGGCATCTACCGAAAACAACCAATCATCAGTCAGATAAGGACACGAGCACTTCAGCTACTGCAGCTCAGGAAGAGCTCGTCTATAAACACGTATCAGGTCTGCCTGAGCTCTCAGTCTACTGTGGTTCCTGCCTGGACCTCAGTGCCCAGCGAGGACGGACAGCATGGAGGAATCCGGATGTGCTGTAAATTCTGCATTTTGTTTTTATAATTTGTGTTTAGCGTATTTCATATGAGAGATGAAAAAAAAAGAAAAGGCCTCACAGACGAGCTATCAGAGCATCTGAGTGGAGCGGGAGACGTTTCTGCTCTGTACTCAGTGTTTCTGTAGTCACTCCGCTCCAGGTTTTCTATTTCCCCCTTCTGACTCACATCAGAGAAACCGCTCCGCGTCCACTCCGCATGATCCACATATGACATTTACACTGATCAGGCATAACATTCTGACCACCTCCTTGTTTCTACGCTCATTGTCCATCTTATCAGCTCCACTTACTATATAGGAGCACTTTGTAGTTCTACAGTTACAGACTGTAGTCCATCTGTTTCTCTGATACTTTGTTAGCCCCCTTTTACCCTGTTCTTCAGTGGTCAGGACCCCCATGGACCCTCACAGAGCAGGTACTATTTGGGTGGTGGATCATTCTCAGCGCTGCAGTAACACTGCAGAGTGGACAGTGAGTGGACAGAGTGTTTAAAAACTCCAGCAGCACTGCTGTGTCTGATCCACTCAGACCAGCGCAACACACACTAACACACCACCACCATGTCAGTGTTACTGCAGGGCTGAGAATGATCCACCACCCAAATAGTACCTGCTCTGTGAGGGTCCATGGGGGTCCTGACCACTGAAGAACAGGGTAAAAGGGGGCTAACAAAGTATCAGAGAAACAGATGGACTACAGTCTGTAACTGTAGAACTACAAAGTGCACCTATATAGTAAGTGGAGCTGATAAAATGGACAGTGAGTGTAGAAACAAGGAGGTGGTCAGAATGTTATGCCTGGTTGATGTATTTCCTAAATGTATGGAGACACTGAACACTTTCATTATAAAGTTATGGCTGTTATCAAATGAAAAACTAAAACATCGAGCTTCACAGGTTTTTCCCGGAAGGTTTAGTGTTGAAGCGACGGCTCAATAACAATCTAGAAATGTGCTGAGTGTAAACAAACACACGAGCTTTTAACACCACCTTCTTTAGCATTTACGCAGCACAATGGGCGGCGAGACTGACCCCGACGTCAGTAGATCTGTGTTTATCAGTGTGAACTTCCAGAACGTGTGTGAAGACGCTGTGTACGGGTGGCCGTCGCGTCTGAGCTGTGGAGTCGCTGCTGC